CCTACCGTAAATATATCAAAATTTAATTTTTGATTAGTAATATGCATTGCTAAGGACTTCATTTGGACATCTTTAAAGGTGATTTTCTCAACAAAATTATTTTTTATTTTTTTGCACCCTCAGATTCCAGATTTTCAAATGATTGTATCTCGGCCAAATATTGTCCTATCCTAACAAACCATACATCAATGGAAAGCTTATTTATTCATCTTTCAGATGAGGTATAAATCTCAATTTTAAAAAACTGACCTATATGACTGGTTTTGTGGTCCAGGGTCACATAGCCTATATTTGATTTTGTTTTTTGAAGTTCAACATTTCAAATCAATATACTACCGTCAATAATATTGTTTTGGTGGGTGTTTTGTTCTGTCTGTGATTGATTTCTGGTTGTATAAGGGTTGATAAAGAATCGCACAGGTCACCGAGGTCAGAAGAAAATGTCAAGTAAGGTTATTGATTTGAGTCAGTTATATAAGACAATATCTGATTTTATATCAGAAAGAAGATCATGTGACAGAAACTAATTTACAGAGAGTCCAGGGAATTCCTTGGGCTCTCATTTACTTTCTGATTAGAGTTCCATTAAACTGCCTCTCAAATTCCCCTGTAAGAACGCCCCGCCCCGTTCCAAATACGAATAAAAGGAACGGTACGGAAAACTGCGTCATCGCCATGGGCGTCCAATGAGGGTTTGTCGTTAAATCTACCCCTGAAACGCGTGACGCGGCCTCTGCGTCATCCCTCGTCGTTTAAATGCGCGGAGCGCAGACGCCCACGAAGAACACGACGAGACTCCGGCCCGGGTTACTGCATCGGACACCAGACGAATAAACCTCAGACGCTCAGGGACAGAATCCCCTAACGTCTCGACCATAAGTCCTGGCATCTGTTTGAGAATAAAGAGCAACAAGCAAAAGGGGAATACTATCGATCGTTGGATCATTGTTTTAACGTAGTAAAGTATTTACAACCCAGATTTAAAGAATCAAAGGAACCAGAAGAACGACTTCACTCCAGCGCTCGGCGAATTCAGAAAACTCTGTGTGAGAGATTGACAAAACCGGCCTTTTAAACTCACTGCCTTCGGGGATGGGGCTTCTGTTCGCCAAACTGATGACTGTGTTCGGAGACAGAGGTAAGCCCATTTTAAAAAAGGATGTGGTTTTATGTTTTTTATTATTATGATTTTGTATTTTAGCAGCATTTAATATGATTTTAAAGTGGTCTTGTTATTCTAATTGTAGTCAAGATGGTTTTCTTGTTTTCAGTCACAAGAACATTAACCGGGTAACATTCTGTGCTGGCTTTTGAGAAACTTAACATGTTGTCCTCTTCAGGGCTTTTACTAATACTCTTGAGTTCTTAATGGTTAACGTGTTTTCAAACTCCGGATAAAGGCCATTGTGAACATTGTTCCACATTTGTCGTTTTGTAAGACGGTCGACTCCTCTAACTCTGCATTACGATGTTGTTTGGTAACATGCAACCAATCATAAACGCCCTCAGCTCGTATTCATTAAATATTCATTAGCTTGGTTTGTTTTCTAAAACTCGCACGCGTTGTTTAATTGGTCTAACAGCGACACTAATTAGTCGAACTTGTTTTTACTGTGTTTCAGATTTTAAATGACTTCCACTCAAAACTTTCACACATGAATAAGTTCATATTTGTACTTTTAGTCCAGTCAATGCTACTGACCTCATAAATAGCCAAGTAAGAAGGTTAATCCAGAATGTTTATAAATGTACAGTGTACATTTTTTTCAACCTTAGCAAAGTACAGGATGAAATGTGAAACCAGATTACCCAGGGTTAATACTGACCCAGGTTTCGAATGTTAAAAGCCCAGTTTAGTGGCCCTAATAACATGTCATTGACAAATACGTATGTTTATGCAAGTCTGTGTTCTGTCTGTACACGATAAGATTGTACATGACAGTGAGGTTCAAAGATCGTAGGCGTTTTGCTTACTTATAGGTATTCTGGACCAATTTACCCAACTTTTCTGAACTTTGTTAAACCCAAACAGATATAGATCACTGAGCACTGTGTTCTTAGAAATGCATTGCGTGTATGTTAATCAGGTTGATGTTATCAGTTGACATTGTCATACAGAATAGATTAAACAAAGTCTGATTTTTTTTCTTCTCTCTCTCTCTCTTTTTAGAACACAAAGTAATTATTGTCGGTTTGGACAATGCCGGGAAGACCACCATCCTCTACCAGTTGTAAGTGTTTTTCTTTTTGAAAGCATAAACCGGAGAAGCACATGACTTTTGTCAGTCTGTTATTACATGTTACCTGTTTCCACTCAGCTTTTGAACCTTGCACACTGTTCTTTCCAGTTTAACTAAAGAAGCGGTGCAGACTTCTCCCACAATTGGCAGCAACGTAGAGGAAATTGCTGTAAAGAAAACGCGCTTCCTCGTCTGGGACATTGGTGGTCAGGAGAGTCTCCGAGCTAGCTGGAACTCGTACTACTGTAACACAGAGGTGTGTGTCATTAACCTGCGTGCCTTGCTAATGTGACCGGAAATATGTAAAACTCTCATGATTGTTCTTTCCCTACTGCTTAGAGGCAGATACAATATATTATTACCAACTTTATAGTCTTTATAAAATGTATAATCTGCCTCTCTAAACGTAACAGATTGTCATCCTGGTGGTTGACAGCACTGATCGAGAACGCCTGACTGTAACTAAAGAGGAGCTTCATCACATGCTTGCACATGAGGTTAGTTTGCATTCAGCTGCTTCATGACTCAGTTGTTATGACTATTTCATGATAGGTATTTCATGCACTTTGAATGTGTAGTATCAGATTCTGGGTTTAATAAAAATGTTTATTTATTTTACGTGATTTTATTTGTTTATTATTTGTATATGTTCAAAACAGTGTAACTATAGTATTTTTATCAATATTTTGATTTGTTTCCTATATTTCTAAGTTCTAATTGTAGTTACATTTTTAGTCGTTTTGTTATGCTTTTGTCATTTTATAAAATGTTTTCCTCCTTTTTTTTATTATTATTTAGGGTTAATTTATCTTTATTTCAGTTTTAACTGTAGCTACTTTATTTACAGTTAGTCAGTTTAGTGCTTCAACTTAAACTTGTTTCAGTTAGTTGCCAAAGCAACATTTGTAATTTTCATTTAGTTTGTTTGTTAGTAATATTTGTTTTATTTTTATTTCAGCTTAATTTTTTTATATAATTTATTTTAAAAAATGTTTTAGTAGTTTTAGTTAGCAATAATCTCCCTGATTCAAAATAATATCTCTACTTAAAAAGGCATTGTTTCCAATCTTAGAAGCCATAATTTATATCAGGAGAAACATAGCCTATTTGAGATTCAAATTGTGGATTTGAGACTTTAGTCTTTGCAACTTTACAGATCTTCTTTATGCACCAAGAGCTTGTAACACTCCAAAGAGAAAGGAAAAATTGAAATCGCGTCATATGACCCCTTTAACTGTTTTGAACATTATTCTTTATTGTTGACAATTTCATTTCATTCCTTCTCCTCCTTGTGTGTCCACACAGGATCTGCAGAACGCATCCGTGCTGGTTTTGGCGAATAAGCAGGACATGAAGAACAGCATGTCTGCTGCAGAGATCTCTCAGAGTCTGACTCTCAGCTCGCTCAATGCTCGCTCCTGGCACATCCAGGCCTGCTGCGCACTCACTGGAGAAGGGTATGTGTGTTTTCTAGGAGTGTGTATGTTTACCTGAGTGTTTGACTTGTTTAAAATCTTTCCAAGTCCCTGATCTGAGTGAAAGCCTGTGTATTTAATGTGCACCCACCTCTTTTTCTTCCCTCTACAGCTTACCAGCCAGTCTAGATTGGATGCGCTCCCGTGTTGTGGCGAATTAGTCCAGCAACGGTGCTTCTTAAACCTCTGGAACTGCTGAAAGAGAGATCAGGCCTACTTAAGACTTTTCATCCAGCTCTCAGTGCCTCTGTCTGAGTAATCCTCAAATACTGAATCCTGGAGGAACGCGCTTCACCCACTTACTCTGGATACCAGAACGAGCCTGGAGACTGTGTGTGTGTGAGAGAATGTGTGTGTGTATATAAACGTTTGTGTTTGTACATTTATGTGACTCCGTTCTAGAGGTCCACGTGTTTACATTACTGACTTTTGCAGTGATCTGACCTGATCATGATGTGTTGTCGCCACTGTATTCACCTCCGGCTGTGCTGACGGCTCCGCTTCTCACGTGGAGTTATTGTCTACAGGCATCCATCTCAAAGGGGTGGGGGGGGGTGATGGTTCACATGCCTGTACTGACTCATGATGAGCCACTAAGCTATTGAACAAGCATTACTTGAAGTATTTAAAGGGAATTTATTTTTGTATGTTCTATAGATGTGAGCATGCAGAATGGAACAAGTGTTCAAGTATTTTATTTTTGAAAGTATATTGGATATTCATAGTATGTTTCTTATGATTTTGTACAAAAATGTTTTTGTACAAATAAAAATCTACTAAAAACATGCCTTTTGTCTCTGACAAATATACTTAGCCTGGGTTCAAAATTTATCTGACTGTTGAGTAGGGACACAGACCAAGCGAGATAAAGACAATCTATGATTATCAGATCAAACCGAAGCTGACTACAGCTTAATTTCCATTGATCATTCATATGATAATCTGTCCTGTCCTTTTATAGATCCATATGCAAATGCATTAAAGCCAACAACTGACCTAGTTGCTATGCATGCTGTGTGCATTTTGATTTGCTAATGCATTAAGGTATATATCATTGTCAGTGGACAATCTGTCCCTAACTATCTAGGTTTCTGAATGGCTTGTTT